TCTCTTCTATTGAAATGTCTAGCTCAGCAGGGTCTAATAACTTTTTCTTTGATGATAGAAACATTCTATGGGTGTAATGGCTAGTAGAGTCATCATTAGCCATATGAGGCTAAGGAGATCTTGAACTATGATAAGATTAAATATAATGTCAATGATTTTAAACTTAAAGAGCCACATATGCCTAACAGTTACTGCAACAGGTGCAGTTCCCTTACCTGAGCAGCAAGGGAGAAATCCAGAGGCTAAGAAGTGGATTTGAGTTCTGCTCCCCAACTTATTAAAATCTAATAACAAAGTTGGGTTGACCTTTGACTCGTCTATCTCAAAAGATGCCCTGGGCCTGACACAGTAGCATAGAGTTAAAGCCCTCACCTTGCATGTGCCAGGATCCTATATGGGCACCAGTTCTAATCCTGGCAGCCCTGCTTCCTGTCGAGCTCCTTGCTTGGGGCCTGGGAAAGCAGTCGAGGACAGCCCAAACCCTGGGACCCTGCACCCGTGTGGGAGACCCAGAAGAGGTTCCTGGCTTCTGTCTCCTGGCTTCAGATCGAGCTCATCTCTGGTCATCGCGGCCACCTGCAAGGTGAATCAGCAGATGGAAGTTCTTTTCTCTCTCTCTCCTATTCTGCATATCTGACTTTCCACTAAAAATAAATAAATCTTTAAAAAGTCCTAAATTTAGTAGTTAACATTCATGTTGAAACATGTAGATCAAGAGAAGAGAGAAAACTTCAAAATCCAACTCTGTGAAGAGTTCAGCTCAACATAGACTATACAACAAAACTAATGGGCCAACTTTGGAAAATACAGATTGACAATCCTTAACTTGAAAATATGAAATCTGAAATTCTGCAGAATCTACAATGTTTCAGCACAGCCAATATGACACTACAAGTAGCAAATTTCACACAATGAAACTTTGCATCATGCAGTTATTAAAATGTATAAAATCTCCTGCATATCCTATGCACAAGACATACAAAAAGCATGAACGACTTAGATCCCAACCTCAACATAGCTCACACTGCGTTTCTAAATATTTCAAAATCATAAAAATCTGAAAGCTAAAACATTCCTGATTCTAAGCATTTTGAATATTTTCAAATGCTATTTTGAAAAGGCCTATTTTCATGGGCCTTTTTACCAATGATGCAAAGAGCTGCCAATGTTCTCACAACCTTGTTGAGATCAAACACAGAAAAATACAAAAATTACTTTTTAAACTTTTTGGTTTGTCAATACATTTAAATTAATATTTTCTTTCATTTATTTGCATTCTTGGGATGAAGTTAATAATTTATTTCTACAGAAGGACAAAATTCCAATGGCCCAACTACCACATCATATTAATATATGGCAAGTGCTCCATCAGCACAGCTATACAAAACTTGTTGGAGAGCCCCAAAATCTGCAAGAAGCGAAGTGAAGGGACTCTGTGAATGATGCATGGCCCTCTACAATGCTAGATGACAAATCAGAATCATGAGACAGAAAAGTGCTCAGAACAAAGAGCCAGGTCCACTGTCATCAAAAATGACTTGCATGACGTTTGTAACACAATCCTCAACCAGATGAAATTCTGTGCTTTGTATGAAGTAAGAGTGAATCACAAGTTGCAAAGAGCAATTCCTAAAATCAGAACAAATAATTTCCCAGTGAGTGTGTGACTGTGCCCTAAATCTGTAACTACAGAGTTGTTGGTAATGAGTACAGTAGAAGGTGGAGTTTGCTTGAAATATTGAAACACTGGTAACTCTTCTAAATCCAAATGGCAAACAAACATATGAAAAAATGTTCCAGCTCCCTGGCAATAAGGGAAATCCAAATTAAAACATCGATGAGGTACCACCTAACACCAGTTAGATTGGCCCACATAAACAAGAACACCAACGACGCTTGCTGGCGAGGATGCGGGGAAAAGGGAACCCTACTCCACTGCTGGTGGAGCTGCAAATTGGTACAGCCTTTATGGAAATCAGTCTGGAGAACACTCAAACAACTCAAAATCTGCATACCATATGACCCAGCAATAGCACTCCTAGGAATATATCCAAAACACCTGTTTTACGACAAACCAACATGCATCCCTATGTTCATTGCAGCACAATCAGTAATTGCAAAAACATGGAAGCAACCGAAATGCCCATCAACAGAAGATTGGATAAGAAAGCTTTGGTTCATCTACTCCATGGAATACTACTCAGCTATTAAAAAAACGAAATGCAGTTCTTTGTGGCTAAATGGGCCCAACTGGAAACTATAATGCTAAGGGAAATGAGCGAATCCCAAAAGGTTAGATACCACATGTTTGCCTTGATTCAACTTGTAATTTTTGTTTGGTTGTTGGTTATTTTTTTGAACCTGTCATTGATACTGTCTCAACCCAGATGTTTCGAAGAATGGAACTTGCATTATTTTTAACATATTGTTTACCCAATACTATGTCAATTAATTCCATAATGTTGTATATTGATACTGAGGTTTTGTTGGGGCTTTTAACTGACCGGATCTTTACTCTGTTAGCCCTATCTTCAGACTAGAGAAGGTCTCCCCAAGAGGCCACTGAACTTATCTGGACAATAAGACGCTGGACTTTATGCTAGATATGTGTTTGCAAGGAACGAATCTCAACTGAACTTGAACTGTGGTTATGCATCAAGGTGGAGGAATCCACCATGGGGGAGGGGTATGGGAGGGGTGGGGGGAATCCCCAGTGCCTATAAAACTGTATCACATAATACAATGTTAACAACAATAAAAAAAAAAGAAATATTGAAACAAAATATAACCTACTGTAAGATATTTAGACTGAGACAGATAAAGGTTCAAAATTAAGCATGTTGGACAAAAATGACTAAAGAAAATACTTTGTCTATGAAAGGGAAAAAAAAACAGAAGCAAGCAAAGAAATGTTGATATATTTACAGTTACTTCAAAGACTGGCTCAACTATTTTTTCAATCTTTACTGTCTTCACCTAATTAAAAGACATAAAAACAAAAAAGGATAGATCTTCCATCTACTGGTTCACTCCCAAATTCTCACAATAACCAGGCTGGGTCACGCGAGTCACACTGATTTGAGAACACTGAGAGCTCTACCCGCAGCTTGCATGTGGATGGCAGGGCCCAAGCACCTGTGCCTTCATCAGCCACCTCCCAGAATACATTAAAAGTAGAAGTGCTAGAATAGCAACAGCCATTCTGATATGGGATATGGCATCCCAAATGTTAGCTTAGTCCATTGTGTTACCAGTAACCATTGTGTTACTGGTGTTAGCACCTTAGCTCTGAAAGGGCGTTCTTTACCTTGAATGCAAAAGAGAGTCCTTCTCTCAGTAAACAGAAATCACAATGAATCTGTAGGTTGTGCTGCTCTGCAAACTATGGATTCATAATAGCAAGAACCACGTGACAATGTTTACTGATTTACTTCCTGAGTATAATTATAAAATCATTATTTTTGTTATTATTACCATTGTCTCCAATTGTAAAAGAAATTTAGGCCAGAACTCCAGTCTCACTCCATTCTGTTTTGTAAGGGGGTGCTTTATTATGCTACAGAACTGCCTCACAGGAGCTTCAGCTACTTAAATCCAGAAACAAAAACTTATTTTCTGTAATATGTTGGCTCCATGATGGCTTAAATGAAGTTTACATTATTTAGGAAGCAAAGCAACAACGATAGAAAAAGTCACATAATATCATGTAGCATTCATTTTATGCCTTGCTACATAGCATTAAAATGACATAAAGTTATTGAAGACCAACAGTCATGGAGGATATACAAGTTCTCTAATCTTGAACTTTACATCCAAATTATGCCCTAAATGCTTTAAAATGCAGAATTGACTTGGTGCCACAGTGGAATATCACATACTCAGACTCATGTGACAGGTTGTAGTCAAAACAAGTACACTGAACATATTGTATGAAATTGCTTTCAGACTATATGTATTAAGTATATATAAAATATACTGGAATCCTGTATTTAGAGTTGGATTCCATCCCCAACATACTGTATAATGCACATGCAGATATTCCAAAATGAGGAACAACAGTCTGAAATACAAAACACTTCTGCTCCCTTGCATCTTAGATAAGGAAGTCTTAACTGCTTCCTTTACTCCAGTCTACAGATGAGGAAACTAGTCCTAAAACACCAGTCAGTCCCTCAATCACTGAACAGAGGGCTGAGAAACAAGCCCCATTGGAAGGTGTAGGCACTGAACAATAGGGTATGTCTTTTTAAACTCGGGCTGCACCCAAAGGAAACACATAGGTAAAATGCCACTTCCCATGCTCCTTGTCCTGGTCAAGGTCATGGTCACTGTAAGGTTGTGAAACCCAGATGATACATGAAACAGACAGGAAGGCCTGGAACATTGTTCATATAAAGAATGATAAAAGATTTCTCTACTCACTGCATACCACAGTTGCTGGCCCCATCCATTCATTAACCCAGCATTTGTTAAGTGTTTACCATTAAACAAACATTTATTAGGTTCCAGGCCTAAGTGTTATGAACACAAAACTATGAGGAAAGAAGGAAGATGTGCAATGACAACACAAGCAATGATCTCAGTGCACACTGAGCTGTGTCTTTACACACTGAAACCACATCCCCAAACCCTGCCCTCTGCGGCTCCGCCTGCATCTGTCAAGTGTCTCTGAGTCTTTCGATGTAATGCTAAAATCATTTATAAATTTCAGTCTCAGCTCTAATTACACTGTCAGACAACCCTGAAGGCTCCATCCCGATTGCACAAAGTAGTCTGTTGGCAGCTGCGCATCTTAAAGGCAACTAAAAGCATAGACCCTTTTAAAAATATGCACTCCCTTTTTCTATGACTCAGAAAGAACGCGTGTGTGATTTATTTCGGCCTCTACTCCCATCCTCTGCCCCAACATGGGTGTCCTCAGAGAAGATCTGATAGCACTGTGCTAGGTGGCAACAAAAGCCGTCAGCACCACAGAAACAGCAGACAGGCACACAACTTACGAGTGCAGGGCATAGAGGCAGCATCGTTGTCAGCTCTGAAAAAGCCTCGATCGCAGGTGCATGAAGTGGCACCTTCCCAGACAGAGTAGCTGTGGGGTGGGCACTTGGCACAGGTGGCATCCGTGGAGAGAGCCTTGTAATATCCGATCTTGCAAGCTACAGGGAAGAAGAAAAGAACAAGCAAATATAAAACACTGCCAGTGCAGCAAAGCAAAATGTAAAGCAATCTCCTTCTTTCAAATAAGGGGAGCAATTTGCCAGTCATTAGTGATTCCTCTGGCCAGCAATACAGGTCAGCAACCCCAAACATCAGCTGATCAAAGCCACTCACTAAGGATCATGAGCATTGCAGAGCATATAGTAAAGGAACCAGCAAAGGGATTTTCTCAGAATTTGTGGTGTTCAGTAAAATCACAACTACAGTAGGCAGAATGCCTTTCTACCTGCAGGTTACCATTCTTACATATTATGTGATTGAGCCCTTATAAGCAGGACTTTTCATTAGACTTACTAATATCTTTCTGTGACATGTGAGGAATTACGACTCTGAGCAGTTAATTACCAGGGCAAGCCCATGCATCTGGTGAGTGTTGGCAATCAGCTCTGAATCCCAAGGGTCTTGCAGCCAAAGCCTCTTGGACATATGCTACGGAATCTGAAAGCATGGTCTTTAAACAACCAGCTGGATGTGTGTCCAAGTGCTAGCAACAACAGCAACAACAACAACAAAAAGATCATTGGTCATTATTTCTTAATTACAGTTACAGAGAGAACCAAATTGAAAGACCAATATATGTGATGAATTTTATAAGGTTTGGGTCACAATTTCAGGGAAAGAAATTTAAAAACTACTCAGTATAAATTCTGGAATATGACTCTAACATTTTAGATGTGTAAATAATTATTTGGGGGTTTATTTTCAAGCTAATGAAGCCTCCATTTTTTTCATCTTTCCACTTTCTCAGCATTCCTCTCTGCAATGCTCATACCTCCCCAAGAGGCTGGTGCACAGAACATGGGTCATACACTTCTTCATGTTCCTGATATGCTTTCCATGACCTCATCTTCATAAACACCATATTGACACTTAGTCCCACCTCTACGCATGTGGAAAAACTCAATAACCCTATGCAACCTCATAATAAAAGGTAATTAATACGCTTTATTTCCCTTTCTTTTTTCCTTCTCCAATACCCATCATGATCACCTTCCAAATATTTCTCAATCTGAAATAAAAAATGCACTAACAATATCATAATTAAACCCACAGAGGCAAGGCCTTTGCAAATAAGAGTACTGCATAGCACCAGAGGTTAGAAAGGAAATGTCAGTTGCCCACACTCTTTGCAGCATAGTTTACTTTTAATTCTGTCCATTTATCATATCCATAGGAGTTGCTATATACTACCAAAATCACCAGCTGGGAGAAAGATTCATCAAATGTTTTCCACTGTCCTGATAACCAAAAGCTATGGGTACAGTGACTGTATCGCTCCTTGTCCTTCAAGTATCCACATGGCTTCCACTTGAAACGTGTTCCCTGCTCTGGCATATCCTGTTGGCATTTTCTTACTCTGCTCTTACAATGGCCAGAGGAAAGGGAATTTAGCAAGAGCCCAGAAAGGCACACAGTTACCTCACTGCTATTAACTAGGTTGTTTATGGAATTCCCTTTAACGAGACAAAATTTTATGATGTGTGGAGCACTGACAATAAAAGTGCTCAGAGATCAATCTCTCCCTTATTTGCTTTCCTCTCTCACTGGACCAGAGCATCTTAGAAAAACAAGTTGCTCCAATGGCTGAGATTTATGTGTGTCACGCTTATCCATATTGCATAATTAGATAAGGTTCAATGTGCAAGGTGCATTTTGATCATGCTTAAGATGGCCCTAGGGTTTCGATCAAAATCAGAAACCCCGGCTTTGGCAGGAAGAAGCACAAAGGGTCAAGCCTGTCCTTCCCACATCAAAAGCAATGAATCCCTGCACACAGCTGCAAACCCACCGCATCCCGTCTGTCGCTCAGGCAGTTGCAGTCAGAACAGGCCACTTGGGACAGCTGGAGTCGCTGGCAAGAAGGTACAAATGACTTTATTCTTCTTCTTTATTTTTTTTCAGAAAACTACATATTTCCGACTGCTACCTGCACACCTAAATGTCATCAACTTTCAAAATCTAAAAATTCAAAGCAAGAACACAACAAAGGCAACAAAAATGGGCGAATGATGAATCGCTGTGATGTTAAGAATGCACACTTAAACTGCTTGTAAAAAAAAAAGAACAATGCTATTTTCTCAAATCTGATAAGAATACTTCATGTCCACTTAAAAAACTAAACTCTGAGGCCACAGAAATCAAACTGAAAGATGTTCCTCCCAATCTGTTGTCGTTCAGAAATCTTTGTGTGTATATTAGAGGAGGCCTCAAAGGGTTTACTGAAAAATAGAATTAAAGCATAATGTAAATTTTTATTAACTTTCTGAAGTCCCCTCACATTATGTAAACTTAAAAATAAATTTGCAAGTGTGTTTCTTTCCTTTTTTTGTCGAAATAGGTACTGATATGTTAGCAAGAATAAATGTACATGAATTTGTATGGGAAAGAGAGTTTAATATTAATTTTGAAAATTGAAGGCTGCCGTTCTTTAAACATGCTCATTCTACCCTCTTTTGCTCTTGCTTTTACAAACACAAGCAGAAAACACAAAATCGTCATTGTGCTATTCTCAGCAACCCTTACTACCCTTAACACATTCTTTTGTCTTGAACTACATTAAGACTATGTTATTAATATTTCAGGATTCTTAGAAAGGCTTTCTCAAAATACAGTAGTAGTGGCTTTTCACTCACAGAGCCATTTTGCTGCCGACATTCAAAATGACCTACTAAATTGACGGTTCAGTGCATTTCTTGGCTCAGTGTGGTTCACGGACTCCCAGCATTCAGCGCATGGTTGTGTAAGTACATCCTGCATTTATTGGCTACTTACCCACATTTGAAATTTTTCACTATATTTTTCATTCTGAACAATACCTCTGTGGAAGATGCACGTGGCATAATCATCAACACAGGATTCTCTCCCATCATTCTCTTTTAGACGATTCTCTTTTACATTCTCTGTTACACTTCACTTTTGAATACTAAGAACTGCATATGCCAGTCTAAAGTGCGCTCTCCACAAACATCTCTCTCCTGCTCTTTTCGCAGTGAAGCTACAATAGATGGGACAAGACATGAACGGCTCTTTACTTGGCCTTCTGATCATGCCATTGTGAAAAAGGTCACATGGGCAACACAAACTTTGTATTTAAGCCTTTCCTTCTTCATCGGCTCTTGCCACCTTTAAGTAAACAACAGAGAAGGAGGGCGGTGGAGAGAAAGACAGTAACTTCTTTCATTGGTTCACTTACCACCATAACAGCGCTGCATTTTACGAAAGCATTCCTGCGGCAGGAGTTTGGTTTAACAATTAAGTCTCTGCTTTAGATGCCAACAACCCATATCAAAGTGCCTATTTTGATTCCCCACGCCTCTGCTTCTGATCCAGCACTCCATGCTATTCTGCAGCATGCGAACTAGTTCCTAACGATTCAAATACTTAGTCTCTCTCACTTAGGCGGGAGACCTGGATTGAGCTGTTGGTCTCTGGGTTGAGCTGGCCCAGTCCAGCTGCTAAACTCATGTGAAGCAGTGAACCAGCAGATGGAGGAGCCCTTTTTGTCTGTCTCTCTTCCTTTCACATATAGAGACAATAAACAAAAATAAATAAATGAGATAAAATTCCTGTGCAAATGTCAATTGTTTATTTTCATTTAGTTGTAATTACTTCTGTGTAAAAACAAAAATGTGTATACAGGTGTGTACATGAAGACATAAAATCCAATTAAATAAATTTTGTGTACTAAAAAGTATCTGATTATTCTCACAGTTCACTTTTACTTTAGTTACTGGCAGTATCTATGCCTAACACAACAACAAATATGTAGAAATAAGGGAGTATTTATTCTGTTTACATGCATTACTTCTTAGAATTCTTGATAATCCTCTGTTTTCATCATTCCTATTTTACAGATGGAGAAAGTAAGGGTTTTAAGTAACTGGCTTATGGCGATGTCAACCATTTAACTTCAGGGGTCATATTGATAGAAATTTGTGTCTTTCCAGGGTTAGGGGTGACTTTCGAAGCAATATGATTTGGGAATAAATGGAGAGTATGGATGTGGGGTGGTTCCAAGTTCAGTGTATCTCTACTCAATCCCCTTGCTTCGTTTCCCTTATTTCTATCAGGCAATGCTGCACTAGAGGCCGGAGTACAATGCTGTGGGAATGAGCGTGCATGTGTGTCTCTGTACAGTCCCGTGTAGTCTTGCAAAGGCAGAGCACTACATGTATGAAGCATGAAGCAGAAAGACTCACCCACAACCTTTGCTCAAAAGCTACTCTTGCCTCAAAGAATGATAGACTTCTCAAAACTCTGTTCTCAGCCATCTGGCTAATTTGAAAGATCTAATTTGGGCTAAAGTACTAACAAATAGACATTAATGGAGGGTTAAAAATTACCTTCCCAGGTGACAAATTAGCATTTTAATATGGAGTCTCCTGAAGGTCAAACTGAAATTCCAACATTGATGCTCTAGGGGAATTTCAAGTTTTAATGCAAACTGGTCCCCAAGGAATGCTGGGCTCAAGAATAGCTCTCCAATGTTATCATATGCACTTGATTTTAGGCACATATTTCCAAAAGGATTCTGCAGGTATGCTGCCTCTCATTTATAGGAAACCTATGATATGTATCTTGCTGAGGAGTCTATTTTAGAAAAAGCAAAGCTGTTCATGGGGCTCAGTGTTGTGGTGCATGCGGTCAATTGCTACATTCACATCCCCTATGAGCATGGGTTCAGGTCAAGCAGTTCCACTTCCAATTCACATCTCTGGGAAAGCAGTAGAAAATAGTCCAATTATTTGGGAATCTGCCACCCATGTGGGACTCTCTGATGGACTACTGGACTGGACAAGGTCTGGCTATTGTACTGACTCAGGGAGTGAACCATTGGGTAGAAGATGGGTCTGACTCTGCCTGTCTCTCTCTCTGTAACTATGTCAAATAAATAAATACAGTTTTAAAGCTATATAATGATTATCACTAGATTTTATCT